AAAAAAAAAAAAAAAAAAAAAACTGAAAAAAAGATATGTTATGAAGAAAAATAAAATAAACAACGTTTGGCTGAGCATTACATCCAAATTCCTTACCAAATTTGAAATAGAAATAGAATACGGAGAACAAATACTAATAATAAAAATAACAAAAAATAAAAAGAGAATTAAATTTAGTGAGTGCGCGAGCACGTTTTTGACACCGCCATCTCTGGCGATTTTTCATTTTTTTTTGGCATAGCTAATTGCCCTGAAAATTTATTAATGTGTACTTCACATAATACAAAACCCATTAAAAAAGTTTCAAAAAATAATAAAATTGTTTAGACCCCGAACTAAAGTGAAAACGAAAAGTAAAAATTGAAAAAAAACATGGGCGAGCACGTTTTGACACCGCCATCTTTGGCGATTTTTAATTCTTATTTGGCTGAGCCAAATGACGTCAAAATTTGTAGGCGTGTACCTCACGTCATAGAGAACTCACAAAAAAAAAAAGAAAAAAAAAAGGCCCCGAAATAATTTTTGGCGGGGGCCGAACGACGTCGGGTTTGGACCCCATACGGGACCCCGAACGCCCGTACGTACGGAGGTCGGCCCAGGGAACCCTGTACGTATGGGCTGGTGACCCTGTATATATTTGTACAGGGCATAAAGAGAGAGAGAATACCATGATCTACTGTGTTGAAGAATTGTGCCCTTGGCCTCGGGCTGTGTGTGCACTTGCTTGGGTCTAGACGATAGAATTGAGATTCGTGGTTCACTTCTTGATTCTATCGTGGCACTCACTCCGCTCGCCAGAGCAGACGTGAAGTCTAATGACCGTATGTTGTATTGGGGGAAAGAAGGTAGGCACTGAACCAATTTGAGAAGTAGTCAAGGAGTCCTTTTGAAAATGGACGTTCCACAGAAGCTCAAAGAAGATTCCTCTGGTTCTGTTTCTTTTTTTTTTTTTTTTTTTTTTGTGAAAATTTTTCATTTTAAAGAAAGCCCAGTTTGTTGTAGAATCCGGACTCCGGACACCCGGGGTTACTTCCACAGCTATGTTGCGCATTGTATCCTCAATGAGAGTAAACCCGCACGCGATGTGCTACCTTTTTTTTGTTTTGTTGTGTAATGTCCCATGTAGGTCTATTGTTGGCGGTGATAAGAGCAGCCCCCAGCACCACGCGATGTGCTATCTTTTTTTTCCATGGGACGAAAGGTTTTGCAACCATGAAATTCTTATAATCCGCATTGATTGCCCCGCTTCCTAGGGGATTAACTACCCATCGTCAACAGTATGACTCCTTATAATCCATCCTCAGCCATATCTACCTGGGGCCCTGTTCCCAGGTGGCTCGGGTTCCTGTAGTAGGTCGTTTGCTATCTTTCTAACTGAACCACCAGTACTTCCTGAAAGTCCTGGCCGCAAGTGTGCCACAACTTGCTGGGATGAACAGATCTGGGGCGCTGGCATAAAATTCATCCAAGTGGAAACGTCGCGGCGTGCACTCCTCGACTTCCGGAAGTACTTGTGGTTCGAGTGTGAATATGCCGTCCATTTTTCTTTTTTTTTTGTGGTCCCATAGGGGACTCCTCACAAGACGTCTCGCAGGGAAGAGAAAAAGAATATAAATGGGCAGACGCCACACAGGACTTTTTGCAGTTCCTGTAGTCTCTAGGCTGAAAAATTGGAGGCTCTTAGAGGTAGTTGCTTGCAACGTCGTACGACATTGTAACAACAGCCCCCTCTTTCACAATTTGGCCCTCATGACTGCCCTGATATTTGCTGACTATCTGACGGCCTTGATCCGTGCCTTCTGGGCAGGGCAATAGAAGCCTTCAGACTGGGAAAAAAAAGAGGTAAGTACGTTCATGTCGACCTCGAGTATTGAATGGGTGGGGGAGCTTCACAGCTATAGGGTTGAGCTGCAGACTCCTGGAATTGGGCTTGAACAAATGAGTTAGAGGGGAATATGGGACAGAGTGGAACGGTCAGTAATTCTCCAGGAATGGGCTGGGCTGGGGTGAGAAGAAGGAGCTCTAGAACGGGAAGGGTAAATATTACCAGCGCAATGGGATTGGAGCTCCATGCTAGCAGTAAATGGCTTTAGCCCAGAACCAAGGAAAGCGAAAGCTGCATCGAAAGGATGTATCCAAGGGACACTGGACCCGATTTCCAGCAGGTGCCGCTCCCCACCAATAGATGGAGTAACCCGACAGGCAAAGCCTCGATTCCAGTGGTTTTCTCACCACCACCGGGATAGTGGCCTTGCAAAAGGGCTTTTCTGAAAGTGGGAAAAAAAAGACTCTCCCCTCCTTTTCAGACTCTCCTGCTCCTTTTCAGACTCTCCTCCTCGAACCTCCTGAGGTAGAGCCTGTCAGTGAGTCACAGGCTGAGTCAGAGCTTGAGTCTTAGTCTGAACGTCATCAAGGATTGAGGAATAGCTTCGACGTAAGGAGAGGGTGAGCATAAGGCCAGAGGCTGAGCTGACCCTGAAGCTGAAGGCTTGAACCCATGGTTGAGACTGAAGCTGAAGTCCGAACAAAGGCGTTGAGGTTAATAGGATTGGGCTTGGGCCTGACCTCGGCACGAGCTTGCCTTTTGGGGTGTATTTGCTGTTGTTATCATGCATTGCAATCTGTTGGCAGGATATGTAGTGACTGTAGATAAAAATAGGTGTGTGTGTGTGTGTGTGTGTGTGTATGCTCACTTGTGTTTTTTCTTCATGCTTTTCAGGGATGCCGATGGGGATGCAGAATCGGGGTTTCAGCGAGGGTCTGAGCCAGACGGGCTGATTTTAAGAAGAGTGACTGAGGGAATGTCACATGCTGGCTTACGCTTACACCCCCGCAATAATGCTGAGAAGAAGGCCCTTACTGTGCTTCGCAGGCGTGGCTGTTCTGTCAATAAATCAGGCAAGTGATATGCTCCTTGGGTGCTCTGCACTACAATCTCTGTCACCTGGGATCAGACGCAGAAGGGGAAGTGGAAGTGGAAGTGGACATCCTTAAAGCTTAGGGGGATCTGCAGTGAAAGGGTACATCCTTGAGTGGACGCAAACTAATATCTGATGTTGGATGCTGTGTGACTACTAGCTCTGTTTCTTACTTACTGGTAATTACTAATTACAAAGAGGAAGGGGAAAAAAAAAAAAAAAAAAGAGGAAGGAAAAGTCCTCGAAAAAGAAGAGCGCCTGATCGAAAGATTAAGGAAGAATCCTTAAGAAAGTAGAGAATATAACTCCTCCTCCTTTTCAGACTCTCCTCCTCCAACCTCCTCGTCAAGTCTTCTTGGGGGAGGGCCGAATCCCTATGATCAGTTATTTAACTTATATTCTTTTGATCTTTCATTGTCGTATCTGTTCAGAATCGGGCACTAGATGGCAGATGCACCTTCCCTGAGGAAAAAGGCGGAGGCTTCGCCTGTTGTCCAGATGAAAATCGCAGTCTACTAGTGATCCACAGTCTTGAACTAACCTGCAATCGAGGGCGCCCACTACTAGTGGGGGGTGCTCATACCACCCCCCCTAGTAGCGGCCGCTGGTTCTTCTCGCAAAAAAAGAAAAAAAAAGAAAAAAAAACTCTTGAACTAACCCAAGCAACGTGAAACTGCAGTGGGTACAGCAGCTAAGTGAATCTGCACATCTAGCTCCCCCACAGCTGAGGTTACAGGATGGCGCTACCCATCCCAGCATGAGCCCGATGTCCGCCACCGTGCAAAACACGGATTCGAACCGGGGACCTCGGCCTCAAGAGCCAGGTATCTTAACCACTACAGCCGGGACCCGGCGTTCAAAATTGGAACCATACCGGTCGTGGTATCCACCCCACCCCTGCAAGCAAGGCTGTAGAGTCCAACTCAACACACACACACACCACACGGACACGGCGATTCTCGCACACCTCGCTCATGCACAGACAACCGATTCGGATTGTTCCCATACGCTCTCCCAAGCCACGTCCGCTTGGTGCCTCACTTGCTGAGGGAACCTCAGGCAAATGATTCAAATGCTGGGCTCACAGCAGACATTCGTCAAGGGAGTGCATGATCTGTAGTCTGTACCATTCGCGCTGAGCCGCTGACTGGATTCCTTTCCTTTTTTCTTTTGGCCATTAATTTTGACCATTATGCTTGTCATCCTTGCGCAGGGGCCATGCTGCTAATCTTCGTTCTCTGTATCATTCCAATTTTAACGGATGTCCCTGCGCGGATCGTATTCCAGCCCTGCGCGCGAAAAGGGCCGTGTTCTGTACATTTATTACGGTCGTACACATGCATCAGGTTGCTTGCACCACCCAATTATTACGGGACGTCTTGCAGCTACCAGAGGTCGGTGGATTACACCCACAACCTCGTCTTACCCTGAAAAAAAAAAAAAAAAAAAACCTGGATGTACACAGAGGTGACAAGATGGTGAGGCCATTTGCTGTGGGTGTGCTTCCTACAGGCTGTTGGTTCAGAGCGCGTGCAAGGGCAGCGAAGATGCTTAAAACCACCAGTACTTCCTAGAGTTGTGCCCGGTAACACGCCACGATTTTAGGAAACGTACGGGCTACTACAGGAGCGCCCAAATTCATCCGACTAGAAACATTTCTACTCTATTTTTTTCCGCGGCCGATAGCTGGCCCAAGTACTGGTGGCTTAAAGCAGTGGTGTTCCCGGTGTCGTGAGAAGGCTCCGTGGCACCTGCCTGGTCCCTGGTCGCTGGTCCCTGGCCCCGCATTGACGTCTGGTATGGTAGGCCGCTACCTGGTAGTGGGCAGGCTGAGGGAGCTTGGGGTGCGGGTGAAACTCTCGCGGGCCATGTTTTCCAGAGCACGTCACACGATGTGAGGGTACCCGGGGCCACGTCCCACTAGCAGCATTGAGCTTCCTCAACACATGAATGTGGACGTGTTTGTGGAGATGTGCCGTCGAGAAAACTTAACGTGATTTATACATCTCCTCAAACACTTCCAGGTTCAGCTGCTAGTGGGACTTGGCCCCTCGTGTGCCTTTGCCGGTAGGGCTTCTGGTGTGCCACACGGGTGGTGTATCTTCTGGGCGAGCTGTGGGTCCACGGCACTTTAGGGTTGATTTGTTTGGATCAATGGTTGGGTTGCTTAAACAACCAGTACCTTTTCCCAATATGTCAGCCGCGGGCACTGCACGCCGCCCCGAAAATCAAGACCGGCCGCCAATTTGATTTATCGGCGGCCGCCAATTTGATTTATCGGCAGCCGCCCTTCCGTTTCAAGCCAGCGTGTTACCCAGCGCGCCTCTGAAAATATAGCTGGGAAAGGTAACTGGTGGTTCAAACTTCCTTTCCTTTTTGTTGAAGTATCGACTGGGACAGGTGGCATTCCCACAGTCCCAGTGGACACTTTTTGTTCTTCCCAGGTTTCGACGGAATATGAGTTGCTTCTCATTCGAATTCCCCCCCTCTTTGTTTACGAGCGCATTGGAGGGAAGCCGGGGTGCTTTTTTTTCTGGCACTTGTGTGTGCTTCTGGTGCCACGTGGCAGCTCCAAGTGGGTGCCTCTGTGTATGTGAAACGTTTTGTTGCTCTGCGTCTATTCAGTGCATAGCCCCAGCGGGATGTGAATGCAGAGGGTTTCTAACTTTCTAAGGGCCCACTCACACTAGGACTTTGTTTACTTATTTATCGACGTATTTGCGGTCATAATAGCGTCGTATACATGCAGCTGTGGTCATAAACGCAATCAGATACATTTAAGATAGAGCTCGTGTGAGTATGGACTGAGACTTGCTTTTTCTTTTTCTTTCTTTCTTGGGAAAATTTGTCTGGCGCCCCTGTAATTTCCATTATCTTGCGCCGCGCCCCTCCGGCGGAACAGTTACCCTGTAGTGCCCCTGGGGCCTCTGAACTTTCCTGCATGCCCCTGTCAGCAAGGGGCACAGCTCTCCGTGGTGCCGTTACTGGATGGCCAGTCCCATTTCACTGGTCCCTGCGCGATATGCCCTCATGAGTGGCATGCACCTTTCCATCATGCCCTCGCGCCGGAAATTCGGATTTGAAGCTCTGGTTTTTATGGCGCTGCCGCAAAAAATGATGGGGTGTGTGTGTGTGTGTGTGTGTGTGTGTGTGTGTGTGTGTGTGTGTGTGTGTGTGAGAGAGAGAGAGAGAGAGAGAGAGAGAGAGAG